TTTTTTTTTTTTTTTTTTTCATTTTAATATTTACAAAGAATCTCTTCCTGTTTCAATTTGTTCGGCTTTTAATTAGGTTGATCCTTGCATAAGTTCAGGCACAAAAAATTAAAAACTATACAAGTTAAATTAACTTTAATAACTGTGTTATTTATTGCAAAAGCAAAAATAGATGTCTTTTTTTGTGATCGAATAAAGTTCTGTTGAGACCAATCAGTAACGCAACATAAATTGTGGGTTAAAAAGAAAAGAGGTAAACCATGGTTAACAACCATGTCTACAAAGAGGTTAAAGTACAGGTCATGAAGTTGAAAGGATCTATTCACAGAAGTAGTCTTGGGGAAAGGTTTATCTATTAAGGTTTGATGATGAACTGTCCACTGTTCTTGCAACTCTCTTTGTGAATAAATTCTTTCCACTAAATGATGATTAAAGACCATGCAAGACAGCAAAGGGGTAGAATTTCGGTCAATACTATTCGAGTAATATTGAATAAGCCAAAAATAAGCTTTAAATTTCTTCGATACTGGAGTATGTTACAAGGAGGAAAGAGCCAAAATGTTAAATAAGGATGTTCGTATTACTCAGCTTGGTCTGTAGTTACCACTTACGTATGTAGTGATAAACCGGAAAAAATTTTCCATCTGCTGTCAACAATAATTCTGTATGCTATTAACCCCTGCACATTGGTGTATATTGAGGTTGTCTCTGACTTATTATAGTTGTCTAACGCATTAATCATGTCATAGTTTGAGATGATATCAGTTTATTTTAGCCTGAGAAACCGAGAAATTAATGACGGAGTTAGTGTAGACTTAGAGCTGAACAGGTCATTTTTCAATCTAATCTTCACATTCATTTGTTTGCGCGCTTACAATTTTGTTTTTTGAGCACCGCTTAATGTTATATGTTGCATTGCATGTGATTGTTAATGTAGGAATTCAATCAACCATCACAGCTAAAGATATTGTTTCATCAATCATATGTGCAGCCAACCGGAAAATGCAACGTGCAACCTCCAAAGCATCTCGCAAAAGTGAATCGGACATCCAGCCTGCTAAACAAGTAAGATTTGATGTAATTATTGTTATTAAATTTTAATGCAGCACACCAAATATTTTTTAAAAAAATTCATCCAGTTCAGGAGTGTAAAATAACAAACCCTGTAACCCCCGTTTCTTGCATTTTTCAAATAGGAAGGGTATGCTTTGACTTAGAATTCAAAGTTTATGGCCAAAAATAGGAACTTTTGCTCATTTCTATTTTTTGCTATTTTCCCCTAAACCCCCATTTTTTGGGCAAATTTCAATTGGACACAGTAGGCATCAAAATTATCCAATTTTCAGAATTTAATTGTCTCCTAAGAGAAGAGATCTATCTGCCCCAATTTTTTTTGCCCCTTTTTCCCTCCAAAAATAAATGGCTCCTCATGGAGAAATGGGGTCCTAGGGTAATTTGGGGCGAATAGGTCGTATGCCATATCAATTCTACGCAACTCAATTTAGTTTTTACTTAAAATGTTGTGTTTTTCCCCCCCAGAAGAGTGAAGCTAAGTCACCTTCTCATCGCAAAGAGCGGTTGAACTCTCACACAGATGAAGTGGATGCATCAACCAATGTTTACTCTGGTGGAAACGTTACCTGTATGACAGTGTCGACAAGACAGGCCTCCAGCAGCAGTAGTAGCTCTACGAGTAATACCATCTCTCCAGGTAAGCGGACACAAGCCTTTAAGTGCATAGGCAACATAATTTGAACCCATAAGACCTTCCAAATCCTCAGTACCCTTTTAGCGTCTCTTTCTGCTTTTCTTTTCTTTTCTTTTTTTTTTCTTTTTTTTTTTTTTTTTTAAAGGACTAGTGGTAGAGTTTGTGATGTCTTGAAAAATTCTTGAATATCCTTGATTTTTTTGAAAATCACCCAAAAAATTTGTGTGTCCTTGAATTTTACATCTGGTTATGTTGTATTTGATGTATCAGAAGACCAGGCCTTTTTCTATTTTGCTATGGAGACTGTGTCAAATAGCGCAGCTCATATGTCACATATTTCCTTCTTCAGCAATAAAGAACCAAGTAAGTTAGGAGGAAACCGATATTCTTGAAACATTCATAACGGCTTTTGAAATTTTTTTGGAATGTCCTTAAAAGCCCTTTGAAAATTGTGTTGAAGTTCAGGATACATTAAGTTCTCAGCTCTCCCATTTTTAAAATTGGCCTTCTCACTTTTAAACCTCTCTTCGCCCAAAATTTTTACAGTTCTTAGTTTCTTCTCTGTAGTTACTCCTGTAAATTTCAGACATTGTCATTGAATTCAGCAGATTTCAGTGCTGCCAGTCGCTGTTTACTTAATTTGAGAAACCCACGCGTATCATGAGTACATTTCTTCTTTTTCGTTTCAGGTGATGCAGCCTCTACAAACAGTAGGAAGGTAACCAATGAGCAAGTAGACGATGGTGTGACGTGGACGTATGCTAACCTGTCTGCTACAACCCAAGAACGAATTAAAAGGTAATATTGAAAGGGCTGACCTCATCAATTTTATACCTTTTCACTCTCGAAGCTGCTCATTAAAATCAAGCCTCTCCAAGGAAGCTTATAAGGAAGGATAAGGAAGCATAGTAATGAGGTTGAAATTCAGACAAATACGATTCAGTACCTTTTTTTGGCAACCATTGCTTGGCAGAAAGGCCTTTAAAAGTACTTCATTTTGTTTGAGGAATGCCCATTGGCACTGAAGATAGAGATTATTGAGAGAATATCTTCTTCATTTAGTCACATTTATTTTTTCCTAAAAATTAATTAAACTAAATAATCAGCAGGAAGTAATCAGTGTTCTCAGAAATCGACTTGACTCATAAAGTGGGAAACTCCCTTCTCCGATTCAAATTTCAATCAATCATAAGCAATCAATACGATTCACCAGATTATTCGTGCCAAAAATTAATTATTTCCAAGTAATTTATCAGAAATTGCTATCTTTAGTAGACACCCTTGGTTTACTTGCATTATCAGAATTATCAGTTTTTTACCAAAATTACTTCCTGCATTCAATTTTTAACTTTGCCAGTTCAACATTTACCAAAAATGAAAGTAGCCTTAGCGTTATTGACTGTAGTGAATTATAAATTTTATAGCAATCATTATGAACAAACTCTACCCTCCTCTAATGTAAAACAATATATATTTTTTTTTTCTTGGAAAGGTTTGAGCAAGAAACCCGTGCTATGCTACAAAGAGACAGGCTCAGAACGGAAAATGAGAAGGAGAGACTGGAGAGGGAATGGCAACAAGCTAAACGGGAACTGGAAGCTGATGATGCTTTAGATCGGCTAGCGGATGATCCCTCAGGTATTTATACTTACTTTAATGAACTCAACGTTCCAACTAAAGAGTTCGAATGTGAACATTAATGGTAAATGGTACCTTTTAAATTTTTTTCCTCAGCAATCTGTCTTGTTTGAGCGCAAAATCAATTAATTTTGATCAGAAACGCTCCTAGGTGTCCAAAAGAGTAAGAGCAAGTGCCTAGATCACTAAAAGACCAATAGAGGATTATAGTTTCATTTTAATCTAAAAATTTTGAATCCCATACATATTTTACGTTTAAGTTATCACTTATGTTATCACTTACGTCACATTAAAGTTTTAAATGATTTTTTCTCAAAATTAAGTTTTTTGAACAGCAAATTTCAAGATATGTATAGCTCAGATAGGATTAAAACATTTTGGGTGTTTTTATCACAAAAGTTTCAGTTCCAATTCTCAACGTCTCTGATGTGCCTACTTCTTATTCTCTTACAGCACTACATGAACTATCAGAAACAACATTGTTAAACAAAGAATCATCATCCGAAGATTTAAGTCCGACATTAAACAATAAAGTGTCAAACATGAAAAGATTCAAAACAGGAAACGAAGTCTCTGTAAGTATCTCATATTCCCCCAAAATATTTTTTAGCTTGATTTCAGTGAATAATGTTTTAAAAAAGGCTCCAATTAAACTCACCGCATCATGTAAGATAAGCAATCAGATAGGTCTCAGCAAATACCGAGTACAGTTCTACATAATTCTAAATTTCTATTCTTTCCTGTCCCTGTTTTAACTTATTTAATTTTTTGGAATTGTTCCGTCTCGAAATAATGTAGACATAACACCATCCTAACATCCTGATCTTAAAATATTAAGCACAGTTTTTAATGTGAAACCTAATGGCTCATGATGTTCTTACGAACCATTGCATTACGATAATTGTTTTGCCTCCTGCATTTAGATTCACTATTTAATTTGGGTAAAATCAGAAACTTCGGATACCTCTGAATAGTCGTGAAAGTCATCCAAAGAAACTGAAAATTGAAATACTCAGCATAAAAAATACACTGAAAGAATAACCAAAAACACTCATGCACTCTTTTTCTGTCACTTTTCACCTCTCAAAAATACGATGTAATTTATTATTTGTTCATTTCACAGACAATTTCCAATGGAAAATCTAGTGGCTCTCTTGACTCTTTGAAAGAATCTAGTGTTACAATGGGAAGGACACCCAGTAATGCTTCTGATGAAGGTAAGCAATCCTTAAGAAAGTTTTTCTTTTTTATTCATTTGGAGCATAGTTTTCCGTTAAAAGTATCTTGTCAGTGATAAATCTAAATCTATTTTCTACGAATCCATAAACACTTCCCTATTCATTTTTTACTGTAGCTTGTAAATATATTTAAATCTTGCAGTTACTGAATCAATCTATGCGCAAGGAGGCTGTCAACAGTATTCAAATAATTTTGCATTAATTTTTGTAGTTGAAATAACCAACAGCTAAGGGAGTATTATGCTGTTTGTAAATCGAGACATCAGATTCAAGAGCGAATTGTAGTTTAAAAATTGGTTTGTGTGTGCAAGGCAAAGAGTGAGATCTTAAGTTCCTTGAGCCTTCTTTTTTACAAAGTTTATTACCCATGAAAAATGGAACAGTTTTTTATAACTTGTAAAATAGTGTGGATGAATTCCTAGTAAAGACCTTTTTCGAAGTTGCTACCACGAGGGAAAGTCTAGGAAAAATTGATACCCCCCTACCAAAACCACCTTCTAATAAGGTTATGTCTCTGGGGTAACCCTTTAGAATTCCTTTCGACAAAGCTTTTAGAATAAAACTTCTGCAAAATCTTAGGGATCCGACTGCCTTTTTCCCCCTCTATGCCCCGACAATTCTCTGTCATTGTCTCTCTCTTTGTGCAAACTCATACAGTCTAAGAGGGACCTAATTTGATTGTAACATATAAAATAGAGCGTGTTTCTAATGTTACCCTGTGTTTCTGTATCTTTCCGGTAGACAAATCAAAAACCCAGTTTCTTATGAATTTCTAATTTTAACCGTGAAGTATTTCACGGCTAGAATGACCGAAAGCAATTTCATCCTAAAGGTCGAAGTGGATCTCTCCATTATATAAACCGATGCAATCGTAAATGAGGCACTCAACTCTCGATACTTTTTCCTTCTGCACATCAGGTTCAGATGATTCACTCTTCCCTGTGTTGACGGTTTAATTTAACGATTGTTTCATGCTTTTGTCTAACCAACTGAACGTTACCGTTGAGTGGATTCCTATTAACATCAGTTAAAAAAAAAAGAAACTTTTTTTCCTTTTAATAAAATCTCAAAATGTTGTGGCTATTAATAGTTCAGCTACTTGTTCACCTATCCAATATTTTATTCCGTTAAGCAGGTATGTTCACACCTGTTTCATTTGAGAGCAGCGCTACAGCTTTTATGGCTCTTGTGTTCCGAGTCGAAGGTCAATTTTTTTGCCCCTCCACTTCCCAAGAATATTTTTTCTAATTCCTCCCAAGAATATTTTTTTGCCATCCTTGCATTGCATGTGACTCACTCAAGATTTTGTCTACTGTTTTGCATTGTTTTATTTCATCCTCCTACAGAACTGTTGGTCTCAAATACATATCATTTCCCTTTTTTGTCGCTTGCCTTGATAACTTGTTTTCAAAAACTTGAGTTTGGCATAAATTCGAGCAGACTTAGAAGCCTTCAAAATAACAGCCTCATTTTGTTTTTTGTTTTTTCTTTCGTGTTTCTTGATAATACCATCATGATGATCACAATATTATCTGAGCAACTAGCTGCGTTAGAACTCGCGTCAGATAAAGTGGTTGTTGTCTGACTTTCACGCACAGTGGACAAATTGGACAATATCTCCTCAGAGGATGGTATTGTTTTTCGGTACCTGCGCACCATTGTGCATTGCAGCCATTGCAGCATGGCATCATCATCACACTAGGTCAATTCTCTATCACCTCTGTATAGCAGCCACGCAGATACTTGCAAACAAAAAGTAAACAACTGCCAAATTATTTGACACTATTTCGCCTAGTCTCCCAAAATGTGTACTTTAAATGTTGGTATAAAGCATAGAACCTTTTTAAAGTAAAGTACACCTAAAGAGTGTGCTTTTAAAAATTGACTTAACGATTTACTTGATTTGTTTCTTCTCCCTCAGGAAGTGATTTATTCACAAGCCTTACATCTACTTTTGACAAGAAATTGAAATCTTTACTAAAATCTGAGGAACTTTGTAATGATGACATAGAAGAGCATGTCAGTACAATGCACGATGAGAAAGTTTCAACAAAATTTCAAGATCCCAGCCTGCATAGATCCTTGGAAAAGCAGTACAAGCAGGTAATAACATATTTTATGACTGCCACAGGCCTAAGAGCCTTCCATTTTGGAATTACCCTACAACAGAGAAAGTATAAAAAATCAGCTTTTTTTTTATTAAATTAAAAGCATACGTTTTTACAAGAAAATCAGCCCTCACTTTGCAAGTTAACTTCATGTTGTGTCCAATGAGTAAGTAATTATCTCTAAGTAGAGTCCAAGGTAAAAAGGTCTACATACTTTTCGACTGCAACAGAAGATCTGCCAATTGGATTCTTGCATTTAACTTTCAATACCAAACTGAAAGCAGCTGATCTTTTCTTGCTCTCTAAAAGTATGTGAACTTATTTGGCAAGGACTCTAGTAAAAAAATTTCCTGGAAGAGGCATTAGTATCAAAATGTTACAACAGAGCTGTAGAATAACTCCAGCATAGGCTTACAAGACCTAAGGCTCACAAGTCGCTGTCTTTGCTGCAAAATTCAAATGTCATGGCATTACAAAAATCTGGTAAAGTAGGCCTTAAAACTCCACCGGCCTCACTTTAACTTAAGACCGGAGTTGAAAAGTGCAGCTCATTATTGTAAGTTCAGGAATTTTTTCAAATTTTTTTGGATTGAAGTAAGTTCAGGAACTTTGTCAAATTTTTGTAGTTTTAGTTAGTTTTTCTTCATCTCATAAATCAAGATCAATTATTAGTTTTACAGTTTGTCATTCACCTATTTTAATTTTACCTTTCTGTCCAAAAAAGCCCATTAACTCTTCTCTGTTTTAAGTATTTTTAAGTAATTAGTAATTTTAAGTATATTTTAGTAAAGTTTAATTTTGAGAATAGTTTCTGAAGAATCTTGAAGTCTTCGAAGTTTTTCTTTGTGGATTTTTGTTTAATCTTCTGTACTGATATTTTTGAATGACTATTAAAATTAGATGTGTATCTGTTACAGGTATCAAAAAGTGAGAAAGATGTCAAATTAGACAACAAAGAAAACTGTGATAAAATTTTAGAGCACAAAAGATTGACAAAAGTGAACTCATTCGAGAAGAATAACGAAATCAAAGCAAGCAACAAAGCGATTGAAGATAACAAAGTCTTGAGTGATGCTCTGAAGAAAGAATTGACAGATTGTTCCAGCAGCGACAAAAAAGCTCAAAAGTTTCAATCCCTGAATAATGAGCTTTTGAATTTATTACAGGAAAAGACCTGTGTTAAACTTCGCCGTTCTGAAAGTTTGAACAAGCGCTCAGAAAAAGTTGACAACACTAGTCTAAAACTTCGTCGCTCCGAGTCTCTGAACAAGTATGACAAGTGTAAAAACATTGAGAACAGAATCTCAAAACTAGAGTTTCTCTCAAAAAATTGTGAAAATAAAGCCAACAACTTCAAAAGGTCCGACTCGTTAACAAAAACGGAAAAGACAGAATCAAACTTGATGAAGAGGAGGCAACAAGAGCTCTCTAAAAATCGGTGGTCGCGAGAAAAAGAGAACACGACAAAACTGAAAAGGAAAAACGGTATCTCGTCGAATAGGTCTATCAAACGGCGGCATACGGTGGGCGGAACGAAAGACTTTGACAAAATCAACTGGCTGGACAACAAGCAGAAAGAGGCGATAGAAAATAACGAAGAGTTGAAGAAAGAAAGGCGAACAAGCTCGCCTGATCTTAGTTCCTCACGTTTAACAAGTGTTTTAGTGGAAGTTATTTTAAGACCTCGCAGTCTTGCTGAATCTAATTTAGCATCACGACTCTTTAATTTACCGTTAGAGTCCCATGTATGAGCTGCTAAATTTTTGTCTTGCTCCGATAAAAGCTTGAAGAGCTTTTTTTTATTGTGGCTTACCAATCTCTTGTGATAATTTAGGTAGTCTTAACAAATTCTAAATTTATGTTGCATAAAATATAAGCTATTTCGGTGAACTGAGCGTGTAACTCACTTCATCTGCGTAGGATTAAGGTGGGGTGTGTGTGTACAAAAGCTACAACTTCTTTGAGTCAATATCAATCAGTTTTGCACTCTTTTTAGTTGAGACCAGGTTTTTTTTCTCAAATTTATGGATTCAAAGGAAGCAAAGATCGACAGCATAAAAGTTTGTTGTCTGCATATCCAAAGATAAAAATGTAATTACCGTAATGTCTTGATCTGTATTAATACTGTGGAGTTTATATTGACTGCTCTTGTGCTTGTGATTTTGGGTCATCCAACCTCAAAATTTATTAGGATTCTTTCAAGAAGAGCATTCAGTTCTGCAAACCCTTAAAGTGTGGAAATAATTTGAGTAAAGCTTACGAATCATTTTGAATTAAAACAAATCCTCTTTGGATTCAAATAGTTGCCGGATTCGCCATCAAAGGAGTGAGGAGTATGGAATTTTGTAAGCTGTTATTTTCAGAAGCTATAAATAGTATCCTGGTGATATTGCTATTGATTAGTGCAAGTATCAATGAATCAATTCCTATCCGCCTTGCTGTTTTGAGACATTTTCACGAAAGGTTCTAATTACTTTTGAAAAACTTCAACTTGTGAGTTCAAAGACTCCAAGTAGAAAGTGGAATAGCAGATGACAAAAATGTCGCATTGAGTTGTTTTGTATATAAGTGTGTTGGTTGTACCTGATTAGTTGGTTTTTTACAAAATTTTTATTTTAGTATCAGAACTCCAATTTTTAATTTATTCTACTGATATGATTTTTTTTGAACAGCCACTCCCTTCTCTGCTGTCTTTTCCACATTGTATAAATGCGTTTGTGTATGTGTGTGTCTGGGAGTGATCATCCTTGCCGAAAACATTCTCTGCCTTTGCATAATACTGGATTAGGCAAGTTTCAAACATTGTCTAAACCCTTTACTTAGGCCTTGTCTCCACGGGACGTTTCATGGGATTTGTCCCAGGGAAAAATCTCACTTGCGAAGTTGGGAAAAAAATTGAGTTAGTCAATACTAATCACAGTACCAACTAAGAGTCCTTGTAAAGCCCCAGGAACGACTCAAAAAGAAGAAGAAGAAGAAATTTTATTGTGGTGTTTAACGGGGAAAAAGCCCTGAAGTTTTGTTCCTGCGATTTGAACTCTGGGAAAAATCCCAAGAAACGTCCCGTGGTGACAAAGCTTAACTGTTTGCCTTATCCTGGAGGGTATAATTCCATCTTGAAAATAACACTTGCAGTAAAGTTCGAAAAATTTGATCCTTTTAAAATTCGTGGATTGTCTACATTAGGAGTTTGGAAGAACCTTGTATTTTCTCGAAACACTGGTTTAAAGGGGTTCGGACTGTAGAAAAGTAATCTGTTGAAAAGAGGCGAGATTAACTTGTTGAGCTTTCATTTTGAAGATTTTTATGTGATGCTGAAAAGCAGGACTCAGAACATGCTATTTTTTGGGTTATCTGTATTTTAGCTGTAAAAATTAATTTAAAGTTACTCTAATTCTTATTTCAAGCTCAACTTTACTGGATCATCACACCCTGTACTCCTTTTTTTGATGCAATCACAATTGGACCATCCAAAATTTTTTGTTATTACAATGAAATTGTTCTAACATAATTTCATATGTGACCGGATCAGTGATCGAGAACCTATCCTCTGGAAGAAAATATTCTCCAACTTGTGCTAAAACTTAAGCCGTGTCTTATAACTAAGAATATTTATTTTAGGAGCTCATATATCCTTCTCAATTTTTGAGCGTTCAGGGTCAAACTTGGCCCAAAATTTCCAAATTATCTTCTTCTATGTGTCTGAGAAAAGTTCTGGAAAATTTTCTCCAGGAAGATGGTGTCCTTTTTCACAGATCCGATCACATATAACCTATTTATGTTCGGCCTTCTCAGTTCTTCTGTTTGTTTAGTCTTTTTTGTATTAAAGCCCCTCTTGTTTGTTAGTCGTATTACATTCGCCAATTGGGATCAGTACACCGTCCTGTCAAACTTTCCCCTGTAATTATTTTTGCATGTCTCCGCTCGAACTAATTGGAGTTGCCATTTTGTTCCTTTCTGGCTCCTGAGAGGGCAGTCATTTTTGGTAATAACGGGGGCTCGTATCATTCATTCATTCATTCATTCATTCTTATGTTTGACAAATTCATCCCTTGCTGACCGTGAAAATTTCACCCATTCATGATATTCTTTTCCATCGTTTATTACTGCCTTACACTAATGAGTTATTTCTGTAATCTTTCTCATCGACCATATTGGGAAACTTTGCTTGACCCTCTTTCTGGAGGTAACTCATTCTCCTGGAAATTGAAGAGCAAGTAAAAGTTGTAGAGGCATCCCTTGACTCGATTTCTGAAATAATGTAAAAGATTAATCAATGTGGTAGGTTTGTCATATTTTTTTACATTGAGAAACTACAAATCTTGTATCTTAATTACGATCTGCCAAAATTTCTACTCCTTTATTTTTTTACAAAATTAATGCTCAACATTTTTGTAAAAGCATTTTTGGGGAGCATTTGAAAGGTCAAAAGAAAATCACACAAAATATTCTCCAAGAACGCTGAACATTCTTCCTCAGAAAAAAGTAAATTATCAAATAAAATCTGCAATGCTCTACATCTGGGTACTTGGTTTCGCAGGTTTAAGCTCAACACATTTTTTTCATCACAACATAGTCTTGAGTGATGAATGTGCCTCTGATTGGAAACCTCATTAAGCTTTCGACTTTTCACAAGTGCATTCCATAGCTTTTTTTTCCCCACTTGTATTGTTTTCTCCTAATCTTATTTTTTTTTTTTTTTTTAAAAAAAAATAGATGATTATTATCAATCCCAGATAGTGAAAGCAGGATTCGTCAATACCTGATAAGAGCTAAATTTTTTGTTTCAGTTAATATTGACAAATCATAAATAATCAACTTGATGAAGAATACAACTATTTTGATCTGTGAATTTTTACAACTGAGAAGTAACTAACTCTTTTCTTTCAACTAAGTTGTTTTTTATTATCAACATGGACTTTGATAAAGTTACCTCAAAATCCTTATCAAATCCTACCTTTTCTTGCCTGTCCCATTCAAATCGTACAAAAAAAGTTTTTCTCGAAAATTTAGACTCAGATTTTAGATGATTTTAAGTACCCAATTAAAAAAATTTGAAACATTTTGTAATAAATTTTCAAGTGTAAATTGTACCTGCCTGTAAACTCCAATTTTTTTTCATTTTAATATCAGTTTTTATGTAAGATTTTGTATAATTCTCATGGATTTTGCAATGTTTGCATTTTAAATAATAGATGGATAGCACCCTGCTTAAGTTTTCGGCCGTTTTTGAGGAGAAATTTGTTCTGTATATTATAAAGAAGTCTGTAAGTTACTTGCATTTTGAGTGTATTTATGTAATTATTTTGATCATCTCATGTTCCATGTCTTTTTATGTTCTGTGAACATGTTCTAAAGAATCACCTTTCATTGAAAATGTTTATTGAATGGACAAAAATATTTTTTTTTTTTTTTTTTTTTTTTTTTTTTTTTTTTTTGCCGTTTTCTCCTTTACTTGAGGAATGCTTGTCCCTCGTTTCTTTGTGAAACTATTTTTTTATGACATTTTTAGGACTAGTTACCATGAAAGCATGTACAGTCAACATTTTTTCTGGGAGAAAGTTAATTATTTTGTTTAATGTGACAGAAAATGAATATGCTCTCTAATAAGAATAATAATCCAAACACGGATGCCCAAAAATAGATACATAATTGCTTTATGAGAAGTCCATTAAATCTGATCATCAAGTTTTATGATTGTCCACCTAGTAGGTGTATATTTTTGGAATGCTGTACTAAAAGTTCACTTGATTGTTAATATCTTATGTACGAATGAAGTTACCTTCTTTCACATCTCTGAAAATCTTCATCTGAAGCAAACTACTCAAACTGCAAAAGAAACTTTGCCTTTGTCGCTCAAATTTGCATAGGATGAAACGCTCTCTGGTGGTGAGTCCCACAGTCAATTAGTCCTTAGAAGGAGGAGAGAGATGTCAAGAGATTTAATCATTTCATCCGATCCCTACAAGGCATTAAATGCATTTAGTCTGAATACTTTTTGATAAAATCTACCCACAATTAATTTTTTTTGTTTTGTTTTCTTTGCACCAGTGCAAACTATGAACAGTTTTCTTCACATTCTAAATTGTGTAAATATCAGGTTTGATCCCACTGTAAATAATTTTACGGATGTAATTAAAAAGATTCTTATTTGTTTTTACCTTTTCACTTGTGCAAAATTTTCGCCCTGAAATATTTCCCATGCAATTTATGATTATTTGTTATGAATATTTTTATGTTGTATTCATCCTACATCACATTTTAAATATATCTTGATTCATTTTTTACATTAAACTCGCATTTCCTTTCTATTTTCTACTTTTTGGGTTCTCTTACCGTCTCACTTTACTACTCTTTACCTATTCATACTCATCGGGTTCTATAATTTTGCTGAACACGTTGCCTACAGAATCAGTCAGCAGTGGCTAACGGGTGAATATCTAAATACACATTGATTCCTCCAAAAGTTATGACTTTGTTAATTCAATCTGAATAATTGCTAAAATTCCAAAATATTGTAGATGGTTGACACAATTTATATTTTCCACAAATAATACTGGATTCATTTTTGTAACAAAAACTTGTTGATAACTCCTCAACCAACTCAAAATAATTGCCTCAGATTGGTAGTGCCAATTTAGATCGAGACAATAGCAAAGCCTGAGGCGAAAAAGTGTCAATATCTGCTTTAAGACATACGTCTGAAATGGATAGAGTTTAAGAGAATCGCCCCAAGTTTGAACCCACGAAAGGATATATGAAGTCTCGTTACTCCATAGGACTCAATGTTATAGACATGGTTTAACAACTGTTTTTATGCTCAAAATATTTTTTCTCAAACTTCAAAACTTTGACGGAAGAAAGTTTACGACGAGCTGTATTTAGAACTATTCCTAACTCATTTTTTCTAAAACGCTACTCGGTGCGTTCCTGTCGAACTTCGACAAAAAGTCCATTTGAGACGTAGGATAGAAATCTTTGAAACAATGTTTTTCGATCACTCCTGGAAGGGATATTCATGTCTAAAGAAACAATGGTTGTAATTTTTTTGAGAATACCACATACGTGCATATTAGTTTTCGTGCTCCTAAATAAGTTTTAGCTTAACAGGATTTTAATATTCATGCATTCTTGGAGTAATTCTGAATGTGCTGCAAAAAGTTAATTTTACCAACGTAACAGAAAAGCCTATATAGACTGTTAAAATACTGTATACCTGCAGGACGTCAAATAAAGGTTTCTGTCCATTTGAAATTGCCAACTCCTTAATATCTTCTTTTTGTCAGATTGAGTTACTACACTTTGTCAGGCGATTTTGTTAAAACTTTCTCTACACTGACTAATTGTTCTATCAACCATTGTTCCAAAACAGACAGGTATTGAATGAATTGCAAAAAGGAGGGAAAATGTAACATCTTATAAAGACATTAAGTATTTCCTTGTATTTTGAGCACATGGAATCATGAGATGATAATAATACATGAAAATTTGGAAAAATATGAAAATGCATCAGTTACATGCACGTAAAAATGTTAAACTTTCAACACAAGCGTGAGTACACACATATACACACATAAATAAAATACATATTTTACCCGAATGAATTGATAAATTTTTTCAGTTTTATTTTTTTTACAGAAAATTAATTACAATTCAATTGATAAAACACTTCAAAATTCATGACTAGTTTTAGCATTACAAATTACCATACAGGTAAAGAAAAAAAAAACACAGGAATACACAGTAAAATTAGTCACTAACATACATTTTATGTTCAGGGAGTCGAAGACATAGATTTAATTGTTAACTTAGATGATTCAAGAACACTTTTCCTCCAGATTCGAGTTCCAGAAATGAAAAGCAATCGTAAAAAATGAAGGCACAGTCTAAACTAGCTAAGTATAATTTCTGTTTTAAGTGAAATTTACATACAAGTATTAATGGCTCACAAACATCTTGACTTTGACTGGATGTTGGTGAGAATGCAAGTCATTAGTCCGTAAATCGAAAAGATATATTGAATTAAGGATTCCTCACAAAAGAAAAACATGACCTTAACGGTCCATTCAGAGATTTGAGCAAGAGAGTAGGCACTTGCCATCTCTCTTAGATTGGAGGTGGATCAGATGGTGGTTTTGAAAATGCCAAGTGTAGGTGTTAAAAGAATGAAGGTGAGAAAAAAGAAAAATGGCACACAATTGGAGGGTGATGGTGATAGTAATCAGTCTGATCCTACATTACTGATTCTGTTGCTTACGAGTAACACTTTCTGTCTTACAGATAAAACATCGTAAGGACATTCAAACATTTTAAAATTATTGATTTTTACTATTGATTGGTCAGTTTTGAGAGAAACAGTAAATACATATTATTTATTGATTTTGCAGGATAGGAAGTTTTGCAGATTACAAAGAAATCCGGCACCAGCTGGATCTCATTAACTTTTTAAATGGTGTTCTTTGTGTTCTCATGGGCTTCTAACATTGTACTCACGAGACAATCAGGGCTAGATGTGAATTTTTCGGTATTTTTACAACCAGAAAAGATTATTAGATTGGTGATCGAAGAGAACTCTCTTTTTCTTGCAACCAAGGAGGTAAGACAGATCCGCACCCTTTCATTCTTGTGTTTCACGGAGAAAAAGAACCAACATTCTCTCAAATGATAACAGCAAGCAACTCATTGTTAAGCCAATGGGGTAGCAGAGCAAAATCGACATAGAAAAACAGGAGTAGAAATATTGAAAAATTCACCTCTTAGCCCCGCATTTCTCAGAGTAGGCTGATAGAAGTAAAATTTTTCAAGCTTATCATGCTCGAGAGGTAGTGAAGGAAATCATATCAAATGATATAAGAGGATTCAGGATCAAATCCGTTTAAAATCCATGCAATTTCCTTTACTTTGCATTTAATCTTAAAAGTCTGCAAATTTTGAAAGAAACTGTCAATGAATTTTCGGAGAAATGAATTTTTATTTTTTATCAAAAGAAATTAAGATGCGTTTGAATGCCTTTGCAGAGATTTTCTGTACTCGAAGACGTACCAGATTCTTTTTTCATTTTGTTAGAGAGGTAAATTAAAACCCATTTTGGCAAGTCTCAAAACTGTTTCTAGCAATTCTTGAATTCGCACATATTATAAACTCAATTTACCACAGCTACTCTTCAAAATCTAGTATAATGGGATCTGATTTCACAGGATGAAAAGCGTTTCTTCATGCATAAGACATTTCAGCGAGTTTCTGAACTGGAGTGTAAATTTGAGCTTAAAACATGATGAAGGATCTTAAAATTACCTTCCACATGATGTTCGAGGTATTAGAGACATTCAGTGAATACATACTTATTTTAGACAAAGGCACAGTCACTAATAAAATCAGAATGTTCCGATTCATTTCTACTTCATAACCCAACTCGCAAGGGAAACAGTATTGCTCAAGTTAATCCTTGGCAAAAATCAACCTAAGGATCACAACTAAAGTGCGGTTTAAGGAGTTGTATGGAAGGGCAGAGAACAGAGACTCATAGTGCTGCAGAGTGTATTCAAAAATATAAGGAATTACTTTGCAAAAATAAACTGAGAAAAATACTTTGTAATAAACTTAACTTGAATAAACTTTGTAGCTTAAGGAGGGGATGAAGGGGGGAGGAAGACTGCAGAAAAAACGCCTCCAGTGGTACGATTCACAGCCAAAGAAGTATAAAATAAATAAATTTGAAATAGAATGAAAATAGTTGCGGTTTTCCATAATGGGCTATACATTATCATCGGTGATAATCGGGTGGCGTTAGGGGTCCACAAATGAGATGATAGATTCTAATGTCATTGTGCAGAGCTCTAAGTAATTAGTCGATTTTATAACAACTTTCAAAACAATTTGATCACAGGAAAGGATTGTTTTCGTAAAAACAAGTAGAAAAAATAAATAGAATAAAAAATAATAACAATATAAGCAGTTGCCGGAAAATTTTAGAGTACAAGATCAATAAAACACTACAATCATTTATGCAGTTGTAAGTGTGGCAGGAGTATTGCCTCAACTTGACCAGCAAGAGATTTCAGAAAATAAATAAAGGTTAATCAGCCTTCGATTATATAAATACCATTTAGGTACTTTATTTTACTTCTCTAATATTTTTCTAATAAAAAATGATTTTGGCCATTTTTTGCTAATTCTGTGCGCACTCCATTTTGAATTTGAAGTCGTCTGATTCTTGACTGGACTGACTCACATTTGACTTCACTACATCTTGAGTACTTGCTGCCACTGATTGCTTTAATTTCTCGAATGATAACAACATTGCCGTTTCGTTCTCGCATTAACTCTAGACCGATGCATTTTCTAGAATTAGAATTATTTTTAGCATCATTATTAAAGAACGTTAATTTTCGGTGCGGTTGAAAACTGAGTTCTCTGAGATTTTCTGTTGATTTGGACATAGTTGCAAAACGAGAAAGCGCTCGCTCAAAAGAACCAGAGCACTCACGGGGCCAAACCCTTCCTCCTCCCTGACTATGAACAGCCTCCCATACGTTACAACAAGATGCATAGCGATTCTGATTCAAAGATTTGCCATAGACTCCAAGATCTATTGAGTCATCCAAAGATATGATACTAGAACGATCACTGGATGAATCAATTGACATTTCACTGACCGTATCACTACTTGAATCACTTATTGATGAGTTATCATTAGAGCTCAAAGAGCCATGGAGTGACAATGGAGGGCTCGGCGCATCTGAGCATTCATCAAGGATATAAACTCTGCGAAATTTAAAGGAAGCTTCGGAATCAGAATCACTATCAAAATCATTGTAGATGTTGAAGTTGGAGCCAATTTTTGAAAGGAACCCATTATCGAATTTGTAACCGAAAATGGGTACCCCTGAGACTGGCATAGTCTGCATACTGGAGGCTGTTCTTGGAAGACGATAGTTATGGCTATCACAGCGAGTGTTCATTTTCATAAAGACGCTATTATCATTTGTGCTACTTTGTTTGGGTTTATTGACTGAGATACAGGTTTTAGTTTCTAAGTCACTATAATTTCCATCCTTTTTACTCCTGTCTGGACTGGCTTTACTTTTTATTTTGGTAATATCGTCATTATCACATTCTAGCCGCCGGACCAGGTGGTCCATATTTTTCATAAAGAGCCGGCGCCTTTCATTACTAATTCCTTGAGTGTTGGGTTTATCACAATTTGAGCTCTTTTCCATATTTTCTCCATCACTAGATTTACTGTTACCATTAATTTCATTAACTACACTAGACGACAGTGTTGTCTTGTGTTCATCTGTTTCTGACTGTTTATCATTATCAAGGTTGACTTTTGAGGAAGGAGCATCCGTGACAGACCCATTGATCTCATTGATATTCAAACCTAATTTTGGATTCTGAGTCTTATCGAGGCAATTCTCCGTACTGACACTTAGACTTGATGAAGTGCAATTAAAACTTCTACAACTATTGCCACTACTGTTACTACTATTTGTTAAACTATTTCTAATAATACTTCTTTTTGCTGGGATGGCAGTTTTTGGTTGAAACGAATCGGATTGAGATGACAGATACTCCACGAACCATTTGTGTTGAAGACATTCCTTTGCAGTCAAACGATTACTGAAACACACATGAAGACCATTATCAAAAACCTTCATCAAAAACGCTCTTGCAAAAGTAGTCATTTTTTAGAGACTTCAGAAGTAAATTTAAAAAAAGTTAAATTTTACTTGAAAAAGTAACAAAAAAGTTCCCTAAAATGCATACTTAAACAGTTTTTTACTGTGTTTTAAAACTTGCCTTTTAAAGGCTTTCAATAACTACTAGGACGGAGGAAATTTGAGAACGTGTGATGTGGTTGGTCTCATTCTGGTTAAAACAGTCCATTTATGAAATTTGAAGAGTACCAAAAGCAGGTTATTTTAATATTCTACATTCTTCACATTTCTGAACATCAGCAAGTACAATATGCAGTCCCATATATGTTGGAGGACAAACTATTCCTAAAATGATATTCATGAAAAATACACAGGATAGATTCATTAAAAAATACTCGTGAACTTGCTCTGCAGAGGAGAGGAATTGATTTAAAATATTAAAATATTAAAATATTTATTTCATTTTGAAGAGACTGCAGACCCTAAGTCAAGAACCACTATATGCACCTCAGGTAACATGATAGAATTGCTGATTTTTCAAAAGAGAGCAAACGAGGGTGGGGTTTTTCACATTATTCATAAACGAATCTCTCAAAACGCCATGACAGGAAAGGAAAAAAAATGGCCACTAAACAAAAATGAACAAAAAGAGAGCAGAGCAGTATAATTACCTAGGATTTTTAACCATTAATTTTCGCATTAGATCTTTTGCGCAGTCGGATATGTCCTCAAACAAATCATCTGGAAAATCAAGTTTTGACTGAGCGATGTTGCAAAATGTTTCCTGCTTTGTATCTCCACCAAAAGGAGAGCAGCCAGTCAGCAACACGTACATCAGGACGCCAACAGACCTACAAAAAAATAAGGAAATAGGTAAAAATAAAAGTTATCTATAAGGATTGATCAATTGATGAATGCAGAAAGCCTTTGAAGAAAGAGTTGCAAGAAGAAAATAAAAAAAAAAAAAAATGATTAATTATTTCTTTTTCCAAAGAAGTATTGCTTGAGAATAGGCACATTTGATTTACCTAAATTTAAAACTGCTCTTGAAAATAAACAAAATATGTAGCTGTGGAGAGTGTCTATCTGATCCATACCAACAGTTCCATACTCATACCTAATTTAGGACACACTTTTCTTCTTTCTTCCTTACTTAAACTCAACGAAGATCTCAAATCTGAAGAATTTGACCTTCTTTTGTTTTGTTCAAAAATATTTTCAAACGTGTTAGAAGTTGTCATAATGCATCAGTCAAGAGCTTTGATACTTGGCTTGGAGTTTGGAGTCATTTTTCCAACGATTTGGCGCCTCCAAAAAGGTAAATTGTAATGCTACATTTGTTGCTTTATGAACAAATTTTTGTCTTTGAATATATCAGCCTTTGTGCATTCAACCTGAACAATAAATTGGTAACCTACTTGCGCCATATCTAAATATTCTGTCATAGGAAAGTATAGTGATTTTAGAATTCGTATAGACTTTTCTCCAATTCCTGCATTTTGCTTCTTTTTTAGAGTTGATGTGTTTTTGCATTCACTACTTACTTAAATAGTTTTTAAAACATTTACCTATGCTACTTTAATTTATTTTTAAGAGAGACAAAATAAATACGTACCACATATCTGTTGCTAAACTGATTGGTTCATAGTTCAGAACTTCAGGAGCTGGAAACAGAGAACAGAGATGTGAACCATACAATCGAAACAACATTATCGACTAAAAATGCAAATACTTAAAAAAGTATCTTGATCAACCTAGGGTGCCAACATTTACTTACAATAGAATATATCATTAGGATGAAAGGCCAGGCTACAGAACAGTAAATTTCTAGTTTCATCCCAAAATAAGTTCTCAACTCTAAGCTTGAAATTTTGTTTCATTACTGTCCTATTGATAAAAATTTTAATTTTAGAAAATATTATTATTATTTTAGACAAAGGCACAGTCATTAATGACATCAGAATATTCCGATTCATTTCTACTTCAGAATCCAACTCGCTAGGGAAACAGTATTGCTCAAGTTAATAAAAAAAAAATCTATTTTCAATAATTATTGTTTTACCTTTATACAGAGGAATTGCAATATTACAGGAAAATATTTGTCTCTCTTTATTCTCTTTTCAAAAAATAAATAAAATGAAATTAACTTACCAACATAATCAGGGGTTCCTAAAATTTCTCGGACGTTAGCACCATGTCCGACGTACCTTGATATTCCAAAATCACAAAGTTTAGTATCACAGTCTGGATATTCTCCTGTTAAAACTAGATTCTGGGGCTAAAGGAAAAAAACAAAAGTAAAAAGGGCTAGTATTAGCACATAGCAATTTTTCACGGGAAACTTTCAATGATTACGATTTATTATCCTCTTGATGGGAAGTTTTGACATTCTCTTTCCAAAACTTTTCAGACAAACTCGAGAATGTACAAACAGTTAAAAACCCTTTCGATTTGGATTCACTTAAGTTTCGTAAACCTATCTCTGTGTGGACAAGGTCTTACATTCATAAGAAATGAACGAAAAAAATATAAAAGAACAAGCATAAATGTGGATTAATGATTTTAACTTCCGCTGCCGCGCCTCGCAGACCGCACTGCGTTTGACGCAATGCGTGAAGTATTCACGCAGTCTTGTAGGCGCTATGCGTCTCGCGCTGAGCGCAATGTGTTGGCCGCAATGCGTGAGGTATTCATGCATTCTTGTAGGCGCTATCCGTTTCATGCTGTCCGCAATGACCGCACTGTGTTTGATGCAATGCGTGAAGTATTCGTGCAGTCTTGTAGGCGCTAATATATGTTACATGCCGATCGCCGCGCCGAGGGCTTCTCCTTTTCATCTCAAGTCCTCGTCATCATTTCTCTCTAGGTAAGTCGCGCCGTTCCAGGCCAAATTGCGTGTTTGGTTTCTCTCTTAACTCGACTAATTAAAGGTGCTGTTTCTTGTATCACTGAAAGACGACAAAAGTAGAAATTACCATACTCTCAGAAAATTAGAGATTTTGTCGCCTTTTCTCGTTCGTAATTTTTTTTTCTAAATCCAATTTTTTTTTTTACACCTACATTTAAAAAAAAATTGCAAAATTTGCCGCCCCCTATGGATTTGCCGCCATGGGCCGCGGCCCATTTGGCCACCCCCTTAATCCGGCCCTGCTCCCTCCAATTTGTGACCATCTGAGTAATTTTTGTTCTATTCATTGTTTATATTCATGTTAAGGGAAATTTTACGCGAGAAATCGGAATAAGCGTACACACCTTAATGTCTAGATGAGCCACGTTTAGTGAGTGGAGGTAAATGAGAGCCTCGAGGACTTGTTTTATGATTCTAGCAGCGTGCGGCTCTGTTGGAACTTCATCGTGGTCCAACAACGTTTGCAACTCGCCACCATGAGCCCTGAAAAAGTTGTTGAAAATATGAAATGATTAAAATGATACAATTATTAATAAACAATAAGTCAGTGCGATATTGGTTTTCTCTTGGGTTGGCTGGACACGTCACAGGATCAGCAGTTTATCAACCGTAAAACTACCTAATGAAAAGGTAGCTAGAAAAAATTATGACCATAGTTACAAATTTGGTTTATGCCATCGGTTTAAATGGTATCTACATATAAGATGTGATTTTGCAAACCTGAAACACGCCTTTCAGGGTTGCTACAGAATTTTGGACACTTAAATTCCCTGAAAGCTCCCTGACACATTTTGGTGAAATTTTCTGACAGTTGAAAAAATGGCAGGTTTTTAAAAAGACATAGTTAAAAATAGTTTTCAGGCAAAATTTGTTGTTCGAAACGTCAAACCCACTCACAAGAGCAAATGAAGGTGATTCGACGATTTTTTCCCTGATATTTCCCGGTATTCCTTGACTGTGACAACCCGGTTTGTGCAATGAGGACTTAAACCTCTTCTGACAGCGTGGAGGTCAGGCCGCTACCTCCCCCCCCCCCCCNAAAAATTGCTTTAATTTTTGCTTGTTGAAAATTAACCCAAAGCAACTTTTAAACATGGACATTTTGAACTACGTACACTGGAAAAAAAACACATTGGATCTAGAGTCCAGACTCTTGAAAACATTGACAAGAAAAAATACTCTTGATTCAATCGGATTTAAGCTTAAATCAAGAACCAAGCCTCTTAATTTGAGGGGATTTCCTTTTGATTTAAGCTGAAATATGATTGAATCAAGAGTCATTTTTCTTGTCAATGTTTTCAAGAGTCTGGACTCTAGATCCAATGTGTTTTTTTTCCAGTGTTGAAAACTAACTCAAATCAACTAAAAACATGGAAATTTTGAACTACGTACAGGCACATTTCGCCTGACTCGGCGACATTATGAGAGGGATTGTGAGGACTTACAATTCGAGAAGGAGTATCATATCCTGGGAAGACTCGAAGACCTGGTGGAGCTTGACGATGCGGGTGCAGTTGCGGCAGGAATCGAGGACGGCCACCTCGTGGAGGATCTCGTGGCGCAAGTCGGCGGATCTCCGCTTCCGAAGGTACTTAGCCGCGTACACCGCGCCCGTTCGCCGCTCCCGACAGCGACGCACCGTCGCATACTTCCCTCTGAAACACACACAAAACACACAAATTAATCGACCATCGCCAACAATAATAAGGAAATCCCTCACTTTTTCTTCGACCGCGCCGCGTACCTGAAGCGCTTTCGGGTACGGAAGGTATGGATGCGGTGGACATGAATCGATCGAAAAATGGAAACTTGAATCGATCGACATAGATCGATCGGAAAGTTGAAAAGTGAACCGATCGACTTGCTTCGATCAACAACCGTGAGTGGATCCACAAACCCGTGAATCTACCGATAGATCTGTGAATCGATTGACAGATCCGTGGCTCGGTCGACAAACCTCCTTCTATCTTGCCGCTACTTTGTCGTGCCTCACGGAAAAAATGTAATTGCTGATTTAAGGTGATTCGATGGACGCCATATTTTGTGTCAGAACGGCATGCGATATATCGCATCAATTGGTTCCATATTTTCAGCTACTCGTCATTTTTCTCCTATTTTGAGATCGCACTTCTGTTGTCAGGAGTCTAAAGCACTCACTTGCCAATTTTAACAAAGAAATTCAACGTAATAAAGGCGTGGTTTTTTCAGAGAGAAAACATCGCATTCGATACTGATATCGAAACTGCACTCGAATGCGATATTTTCTCTCTGGAAAAACCACGCCTTTATTACGTTGAATTTCTTTGTTAAAATTGGTAAGTGAGTGCTTTAGACTCCTGACAACAAAATTGCGATCTCAAAATAGGAGAAAAATGACGAGTAGCTGAAAATATGGAACCAATTGATGCGATATATCGCATGCCGTTCTGACACAAAATATGGCGTCCATCGAATCACCTTAACAATTGAATTGCTAAAAAAAAAAGTGACTGCAATGTTTCAATGTAGATTTTACAACCAGAAAATGCTACTTTAACCACCCCCGTGGTTAAATTAGCTCACAATAGTGGTTAAAGTAACATTTTCTGGTTGTAAAATCTACACCGAAACATTGCAGTCACTTTTTTTGGCAATTGAATTGTTAAAACAGCAATTCAATTTTTTCCGTGTAATAGAATTGACGAAATGACATCAGGAACTCAAGAATTGCCTATAACCTGTAGCATTGCCACATTTGCACCCAGGCCAAGTCGCACTCATGAAAATTCGCGTTTATCGCTAATCAAAGTTACAGGCAAAGCACAAATCGTCGTTCCTCGAACCGTCGAACGTAGGGGCGTATCTCAATTTATTGTCACGTGAGTCCTATTTTACACGGAAAAAACAAGACTAGTGTTGAGCACTACTGGCCGTTTAGTGGGGAGTAGTTGAGGGCTGGCGTCTAAGCGCTGTACAGCTCAACGCCGGAAGGCAGTACAGGTGGGCACTGAACATGAGTAGTGCTAATCAGATGCCGAGAGACGTAGTTGCGCTTAACAGGTGTAAATTCACCCTTGGGACGTCCGAGCCTCGATAGCCTGGTGGTAACGCGCTGGTCTTCCACCGGCGCGACCCGAGTTCGATCCCAGGCCGAGGCGTTTCATATTTTACGCTCGCTCCAAAGTCACTTTAGGGCTTGACACTACTTCTTCCTTAGTGACCCAGCCTCGAGCTGTTTAGTGCCCAGCACTCCTCTGACTTGTTGGCTCCATTTGATCTAACCCTCGTTAGTGCCCAGCACTAACATGTAGGTCCCAACCCTAAGCTCGTTTTTTCCGTGTATACATGTAAATTCATACTTTCTGGGGCTTTTGTGGAAATAAAGATACGCCCTTCTACGTCAGAGAACACGGAAAAAACAAGACTAGTGTTGAGCACTACTGGCCGTTTAGTGGGGAGTAGTTGAGGGCTGGCGTCTAAGCGCTGTACAGCTCAACATCGGAAGGCAGTACAGGTGGGCACTGAACATGAGTAGTGCTAATCAGATGCCGCGAGACGTAGTTGCGCTTAACAGGTGTAAATTCACCCTTGAGACAACGGAGTCACCATAGCCTGGTGGTAACGCGCTGGTCTTCCACCGGCGCGATCCGAGTTCGATCCCAGGCGGGGGCGTTTCATATTTTACGCTCACTCCAAAGTCACTTTAGGGCTTGACACTACTTCTTCCTTAGTGACCCAGCCTCGCGCTGTTTAGTGCCCAGCACTCCTCTGACTTGGTGGCTCCATTTGACCTAACCCTCGTTAGTGTCCAGCACTGACATGTAGGTCCCAACCCTAAGCTCGTTTTTTCCGTGAAGCGACGAAATGGAGGCCACTATTAAGTAGAGATCTAAAAACCTCTGGTGTGGTAAAGCACGAGACATTTTATAAAGAATAAGGGCTCCATGCGTCAAACAAGTCGCATTTGCCATTACGCCTACTTTCCTGCGCCGCGTTTAAGTCTCTGAAGTGATTCCATGCGTTTTGCCGTCTTGGCGATCTCTCGCGTAATTCAGCAAGATCAAATTTTTATTGGTTGGTTCATCGGCGTTTTCTGCCAACGTCAGGCGCTGCGGAAAAGACTTTCCTATACCTTTCAAATGAAACATCAAATGAGTAAAATGTACCCACGAACTTTTTCTTATGGACTCTCAGTTGGAATTTGTCGAGTCCAAACACAACGTAAGCAATAAAGACAACATGTGTTACAAAAAACGCAGAAAACACAAAGGTTTGAGCCCCGACACCGGAGACGGTGAGACTGGGGTTAAAATTCGCTTTCGTTTCAATTTCAAGGTTCTGATTGGCCGGTCGATGGTCTGATCGGGTCGGGCGGTTTTGGATTTGTCGTGCGAGCGATTGCGATTGGCAATCGGGGCGGTGGCGGGTGCGTGCGCATGCGCGGGCGCCGCGACGCTCCGGCGATGATGCCGCACAATGAGAGCCTCTCTGCCCGATGCCCGTCAAATTATGGCATTCAATTTGGCGAGCCGTCCAGCCTCAATCCTGATTGCCGTCCCCGACCAGTGTCTCCCAGCAGTTGCCACCTCTCCCATTTCCATTCTCGAGAGTCGACCACTGGACGAGATTCGAATAAAAGTTAAAAAAAGCCGAGGAGCCTGCATTTTTTGGTGTATGCAAAACGGATAGCTGTGAAGCTTCGATGGTTGCGTCCAACGCCGTCGTCGGTTGCCACCCACTCGAATCGAGTAAAAGTGGAAAAAAGCCAAAGCGCCTTCACGTGTTTGTGTATGTAAAACGGACAGCTGTGAAGCTTCGATGGTTGCGTTCAACGCCGTCAATCGTTGTCACCTACTCAAACAGCGAATTCGGCGCTCTCCCTTTCCTCCTCCCCAGGTCAATAAAGGGAGGGAAGACGAAAAGGAAGAGTTAGGAGAGGAGGATAAAGAGGAAGAAAAAGAGGTGAAAGTGGAAAAAGAAAGAGGGAGGAGAAGAGGAAGAATAAGAGGCGAAAAAGGAAAAAGAAAGAGGGGGGAGAAGAGGAGAGAGAAGAGGGGCGAAAAGAGGGAAAGAAGGAAGAAAAAAAGAAGACGCGAAGGAAAAGGAAAGAGCGGAAGGAGGGCAGGAAGCAGAGGAACAAGAAGAGAAGAAGGTAAAGAAGAAGAAGAATGCGATGACGGGCCTATTTGCGTAGATATCAACGCAGAATTTCGACTGTCGCTTCAGTCCGCAGATATATTTTCATGAGAGACAAAAGAGAAAAAAAAGAAGAAAAAAAGGAGAAAAATAATAGCAATCCTTGATAAGTCCTGGTAGTGCCAGTTTTCTAGGTTGCTATACACCCTAAACTGCTTTATGGGAGTTTTCTAGGTTGCTATACATTCTAAACTGCTTCAGGGGTGAGCTACAATACGGACCGCAAGCATCAAGATGAAGCTTCGAGGGGTCGAAGAGACGCGGGTCGCGGGTCCCTCTGCCCTGCCGAAAATTCAGTTTTGGTGCGATCCGGCAAACTGTTCCAACTCGGATTGCAGAGCGTGGATAGCCATCGAGCACACTTGGAAACGTAATTGAATCGGTAACGAAAGGTGGATGAATTGAATGTGTTGCTATCGCTGATGACAGATGATATGCGAGTGCGTTGACCGCCGCGCCGCGCCGCGCCGTTTGTCACAGCGCAGCTCTCCAGTGTTGAGCAAGAACGCCGTATGAGCCATCAGGTGTTGCCAAATTTCCATCGAATAATCACAAATTTCTAGGAAAATCTACGAATATTTCTCTTCCGATTTTTCGGAGGATTGCGTTCGTAATTCGATCAAAAAAGTCTGGAAATTTCTGGGAACAATATTCATAACTTACTTATTTTAATAATAAATACACCGAAAAAAAATTCTCGGCGTTTTTACCAAGGTCCGTTGGTACCTTTACCATCTCACTTTTTTTACCAATTATTGGTAATATTACCGAGACAGACTGATAAGCTTACCTAAAACCGGTATTTTTACTGTTTTTTCAGGTAAGAATACCACTTTTATTGGTAATCAACTCTCGGTAACTTTGCCATTTTATCTCGGTAATTCTACCACAGTCGATAAAAAATATTGGTATTTTTACCGGGGTCCAGTAAAATTACCGAGAAAGTCGATAATTTTACCAAGATTTCTCGGTAAAATTACCAATGCCATAAATGGTAATTTTACCAAGAAAAAACTGGGATCAAATAGAACCCTGAATTCTTGGTAATTTTACCCTTTTCTTAGTAAACAGACAGAGATTTTTTTCCAATGTATTTTCTGAGCGAATTGGCAACATTTGGGGGCTCATACGCCGTTTTTACTGAGCACGGCAGAGCCAGCTGCGCTGATCGTTGCCGCTTCGGGGAGAGAGGTGAGAGGGGGTGCGGGGAATCTAGGAGGGAACATCTGATTTTCTTCGGGGGCCAACGATAATAATTGTAGCTGGTTGCGAAGTGTTGAGGCTCACCATCGCTCTCCAATGTTAGTGCAGCTGCGTTAGCACTAACCGTACTTAGATACGGCGAAATAAACTCAAGTTTCAATTCAAAACCACCTTCATGTGAATATTGGGAGTGGAGATTCAGAACAACTTGGGTGCCATCGGATGTTTCTTCGACTTACGTGGCGTTCCTCACCATGAGTGAACATAAATATCTCAA